ACTAACCTTACTGGGTCTGGTGGGTCTAAAGGACCCATGTAGGCCTGGTGTTAAAGGGGCAGTAGAATCTTGCAGGGCTGCTGGTGTTAGCATCAAAATGATTACTGGGGACAATGTGTTTACAGCTAAATCAATAGCTTTTGAATGTGGAATACTCCAACCAGGTGAAGACCTGAACATTGCAGTTATTGAAGGACCGGCATTCAGGAATTATTCACAAGAAGAGAGAATGGAGATTGTTGAAAAAATACGAGTGATGGCAAGGTCTTCACCATTTGACAAGCTTTTGATGGTTGAATGCTTGAAGCAGAAAGGCCATGTTGTAGCGGTAACAGGCGATGGAACAAATGATGCTCCTGCCCTAAAAGCAGCAGATATTGGACTTTCCATGGGGATCCAAGGCACAGAAGTCGCAAAGGAGAGCTCTGATATAGTTATCTTGGACGACAATTTCACTACAGTGGTCACAGTCTTGAAGTGGGGAAGGTGTGTGTATAATAACATTCAAAAGTTTATTCAATTTCAACTCACAGTAAATGTTGCTGCCCTTGTTATCAACTTTGTTGCTGCTGCTTCATCTGGAGAAGTCCCTCTGACAGCAGTCCAACTTCTGTGGGTCAATCTCATAATGGATACTCTGGGGGCCTTAGCTTTGGCAACTGAACGACCCAGTAGCGATCTAATGAACAAGAAACCAGTTGGACGAACTAAACCACTGATAACTGGAGTGATGTGGAGGAATCTCCTTGCTCAAGCCTTGTATCAGATAACGGTGCTATTGATCCTGCAGTTCAAAGGAAGTGCCATATTTCATGTGAATAAGAAGGTAAAAGACACCTTGATATTCAATACTTTCGTTCTGTGTCAAATTTTTAACGAGTTCAATGCAAGGAATTTGGAGAAGAAAAACATATTCCGTGGAATACTGAAGAATAGACTATTTGTTGGGATAGTGGGAGTGACAATAGTTCTCCAGGTAATTATGGTTGAATTCCTGAGGAAGTTTGCTGATACTGAAAGGCTGAACTGGACGCAATGGGCTGCATGCATAGGGATTTCATCATTGTCATGGCCTATCGGTTGGATTATAAAGTGCATTCCTGTATCCAACAAATAAAAATTTCAACTTCGACCACTAAAGTTGTAGCAAAAGACACAGGAATCTTCAAGTAGCTCCTCTTTTCTTTTTGTCTTGTCCAATCTTAACATTATAATAGGTTAAATAGCTTGTCCTCTTTTTTGTTTTTTTAATTTAAGCTTTTCTTTCTTCATTTCTAATTTTACTTCATTGCAACTTAAATTTATCCACATGCCAAGTTTCGGTAAAAGTGAAAAGACGGAAAATGCTAGGAAACTTACCAAATCTTCTCTTAAAATAAGACTAAAGATAACAGAAATTCTAGTCCATTTAACAATTGGCTCTAGGGTCCACAATGTAAACTTTCCTAGGCTCACAAAAGTTTTTCCATGGATAAAATATACTAGGATTTAGAAGACTCTTGCTATCCAAAAGTTGACAAGAGTTTCTCAAAGTCAAAAACAACGAAGATATGCTAATGCTTGAGGAGCACATTTGATTTTCCACAAGAGGTTTTACCTTAAAAATGAGACATTGCAGTAGTTTCTTCCATAACTTTATGTAATATGGAAACTAAGAGTAGCTAAAGGTAGTCAACAATCAAAGAGATCCTACACATAGAAAGTTCAATTGGATATTTTGGAAGATATATTAATAATTTGTTTGACTTAGAAAGTTTGCAGTGATATAAGAAAATGTGACACATAGAATTATAGGTATTCTATGATTACGTAGTGTTGTTGTAGCACCTCTTTCATCTCAGTCATCCTTCTTAATTTATTAATTTTTTTACTTTCAAAAAAGAAAAGTTAAGAAGGATGACTCATGAGATGGAGGAGTTACTACGAGAACACTATGTGATAGGATTACCAATGCACAAGATTTTGCACAAGTGATGTTGGCATACTATCAGAACTCAGCTTGTATGTGGTTTGGGTGGACTGTTCTATATTACTTGTCACAAATTGATGTTTTTGTTTTATTTTCAAGTGGTGTCAGCTTATAATATACACACAAGCATTATTTCTAAAAAAAAAACAATTATTTGCATATATACTTATTTGTGATTTTTCTCAACAAAGTGTTGTCGCATGATAGCTCTAGTAGTAGTGTGTTTCTACCATAGTCTATCAAATGAAAAATGAGTTCTATAAAATGGTTATGATGCCAGGAATTCGTCTAAAAATAAACGTCAGACCTCCAAGGCCCAACATATTCACATATTAAATCCAATATAATGCTAATGTTAAGATGAAAATGTAGACCTACAAAATTGCACAATAGTAAAAGAAATGAACATATCTGCCAGAGGGTATAGGTAACACACACGGATGCTTAAAAGATAAAGAAAAACATTGTCTAAGATGATTGTGTCGCATCCAACATATACTTCTTGATATGTGTATATTATGATGATAGAATTTGCTAAAATGTGACAAGGTAGACTTAAACTCGCACAGAGTAAAACTTCTTGACCAACAATCTATCGAAAGCCACTTCTTTCTTTTATATCCCTTTGGCACAACAAATGAGGAGCCATTTCAACGTTGCACTTACTGGGGATCGGAGTTTTCCATGCACTAAACCTCAATGTTATTCACACGTCCTCAATGAGACATTGAACCAAAACTACGGGATTTGGCCAAACTCATAGCCAACACTCTCCCTCCGCCCCTGAATTTTTGGCGACACTACATAGAAAAAGGCTTCATAATCCGGATCTATAATCTTAAATCAATGCGTGCAGACTACCAATACATCCATTATTACTTCTTTTTTTAATGGTAACAAAAGCAAAGTTAGCTCTTCCTTTGTCAAATTTTTAAATCACAAGTTTCAAAATTCTTTCTTCCTTAAACTCCATGCCCAGACATACTTCATCATATAAAATGGGACGTAAAGAGTATAAAAAAGATAATCTAATTTTTTTTTCGAATTATTCAAATTGAAGCTCTACATTAGTTTATGCTTTGGAACTGAAATAAGGGGGAAATCACAAGAAAAAGCAGACCATGATTTATTTATTTTTAATTTTTGCGACATTCAGTAACCCTAGATTAGAAAATGTTCATTTTCCTATTAAAAGCTCCACCTACCCATAAATTTGATCCACACAAATAAGCAATTAAACAAATTGCAGAGTATACGATGAGCAGTACAGTCAAAATAGTATATTGAATGAGTGGTTGAGAAGAATCGTCACCTAGGGTTTCGAAAGGCCACAATTATATATGACTGACCCCATGCTTGCTCGCTCCAAGTTTGTAGGGACACAGGAATAGAAAAATATGACTAGGGATTCTTTAAGGGGGGACATACTTTGTACGGAGTGTACTTTGATTGAGATTTAACTATGGAGCACTGTACCTGCTTAATTGCAGAAAACACCATTTCTCTCAAGGAGCTTTTTTTTTACCTTTCTATTTTTTCATCGGTTCAAAATTGAAAGAAGAAGAAAAAAAGAAAATAACAGAGCAAAACAAATTTTGGAAATTTGTTTATTACTAGCTCTTGTCAAATAATAGTTGTCCAACACCAGAATTAAGAAACAGTAAATGATTTGAATAAATTTACCAAATCACCCATATTAAATATAAGTCGTCTAAAAATTGAAAAATAAATACTAGTATTTAATAATAGAGATAAAATAGATACAATATAATAAATCATTCATTAATCAAATAAACTGAACATGTAGTATTGGACATATAGTCCTTCGGGATGACTCAGTTAATTTGGATGATGGTTATTCACACGGATGATTCAAGATCGATCCCCCTTCAATGCCTTTTGAGTCAAGCCTATCGCATAAGGCTTGCCTCGTGCAAACAACTAAAAATGAATGGAGAAATACTTTTAATATATTAGACTCTTTTAGTGTTGGATATATAATAATTTGTTTTAATAAAAATGATAAAGCCAAAAATAAATAACTTTTGAGGTGTTTGAAACATAAAACTTTTTTTTCTGTTAAAATGACCTTAAAAATGTTTAACACTAGAAATATGCTTGTTAAATTTCTTTTTAGGCAACATGTTGCCAAACTAGCAATAACGCTAATTAATGTAAGGGCTTAAACATAATTTTCCCTCTCAATTATTATAAATTCTTATTTTACACATTTTTTTTTCACAACAACCTATGACAATTTAATTTGAAAATTACATAGCTAGAAATAGCGGTAGGCATGGTATAGTAACTATCAAAATCGAAATATTTAAAATCATGGTTTGAGTTTTATGATATTTGGTATGTATTTTTTACATTTTAATATTTGATATGGTATTTGATGGTTATAAAAAAAAATATCGAACACCATATCAAAGTATATAATTACATATAAAATTCATATATATATGTAATTATATAATACTAGCACATATATAAAATAGTAACTAATTATTTAGATGTTGAATTTTTTATTACTCTATCTTGATTTAAATATTCTTTTTGGGTGACTTATTAAGAAAGAGAAGTGTTTGTACTTTATTTTGAATATTTTTATATGTGTCAGATATTAGTATGATATAATTGACGTTTCTCAAAAAATCAAAATTATAATTCTTATTATACGAATACATGTATGTGAAAAGCTTGAAGTTGATCAAACCACGATAACTGATTTACCGTACCGTATCATATCGAATTATATTGATACGATAATAATATAATATTTTAAAAAATTGTAAACTAAAATTACCAAATCAAACTTTTAAATACTGTACCAGGTCCACCCTAGCTAGAAACTCCCTAAAAGGTCAAAATGATTTGCACGTTTACTCCACAAAAAATAAAAATAAAAATAAAAAAGGTCAAGTTGTCAAATGGCTAACATATGCCCAAATCCCTTATAACACCTTTTTTTAAAATAAAATTTAAATCCATTGCCATATAATTCCTTTCAATAGCACAGGATTAATGATCATTTGGTTGGTGGTGGTGTAATGGAAAACTTATATGATGTGTTATAAAGACTCGTGCCAATTCTTTGCCCTGCCACTTCACTGACGGGCACTGCATCAGAAAGCTCTTTTATGTCTTCTTCTCTGAGCTTTACTCTCACGGAACCGATGTTATCATGAAGATTTTTTATCTTTGTTGTACCTATAATAACAGACAAGAGACTAACTCAGTATTCACAACATCATGTCTTTTAAGAGATCAAAGCTAGCACAAGTGAGTGCTACTCCTTTCTGTACAAGTACTCTAAGATCATCTTTGTATTAGTGAAACTACGAGAAGAATTGCTTACCAGGAATAGGTACAATATCATCCCCTTGGTGAAGGACCCATGAAATAGCAAGTTGAGCTGGAGAGCATCCATGCTTCCTGGCTATTCCTTCCATACGAAAATATATAGATTTGTTCTTTTCAAAGTTCTCTCCTGTAAACCTAGGGTGTGTAGTCTGATAGAGAGTAAGCGAAACCAGAATCATAAGAGCATGAAAAATGAAATTAATATAAAAAAAAAATTATAATAATAATGAAACATCAAAGAATTTAAATAAAAGTAAAATAAACAACGGCTTGTTTTCTTACCAAAAAGCTGTTGGCGGGCAAGCTTTCAACAACTGCTTTTCCAGCAAAAAGCCCACGTCCAACAGGGCTATATGGGACAATCCCAATTCCAAGCTCCCTAGTAGATAATGATAGAATGAGAGAATTGAAAACTTTCTGTTTAGTGGTTCACTGGTTCATAATTCCAACTGGGGGAGGAAATAATATATTTTCACACAAAAGGAAACAAGAAAAATGATAAATAATTATCTAGTGGGAATGTGCCTTTTTTCAGTTAGATAGTGCTCCAAACTATACTAACTAGTAGAAAGTCCAAATGTGTGGAGTCATGTCTTTGATTTCAAGATTCTTTTCTTCTTTTTCAAAATGTGTAATGAAGTGTAGAGAAACCTGCAAACTGGAATTATGTCATCCTCAATGTCACGCGTCCATAGAGAATACTCCTGCTGTACAGCAGTGATAGGATGAACTGCATGTGCTCTCCTTATTGTCTCCGGGTGAGCTTCAGACATGCCAATATACTTTATTTTACCTTCTTCAACTAATTTTTTGAGTTCTCCCATCTGTAATACAACTCACCACAATAAGAAATAGTAGAGATAGAAGAGCTTCACGGGAAAACTAAAAGCAAGAATCTTGATTAGGAATGCAGGCATTCCTACTTAAAGCAAATGAATATTATGAGGGCTAAGGGCCCAAAATTGAACCATATATAGGCAGATCACTCACTGTTTCCTCAATGGGCACTGTTGTGTCTATACAGTGCACATAGTAGAGATCAATGTAGTCCACTTGTAGGCGCTTTAAGCTAGCTTCACAGCAGGAACGAACATATTCAGGAGTTCCTTTCACTGTAATCTTAGTTGGTTCGATCTTATAAATACCGAACTTTGTTGCAAGCTGTATTATTTCTCGAGGCAATTGCTTTAATGCCTGAAACAGTGAAAAACTTCGATGAATTACGGACTACTTAGGAAAATCAAGCAGCTCTTTAAGTGAATGGTAGTGGGCTTCTGGCATTCCAGTACCCCATTTAGTACATGAACCAAAGATAAAGAACATAGTCCAAATCTTTTTCCAGTCCAACATTGCCATTACACCTCATTTTTTTTGGCATTAACAGTTCCCTTCCATTTTCATTTTCTGCCCACTTAAGATATGCTAGATGGAAAACAAAACTCTTCAACTCCGTGAATATTCTGTTGAGGAAAATATGACTTGAGCTAATACTTCTATCAACAAGTTTGTAGAAACTTCTCTTTTTCAAATGCAACCAGTCAGTGATTAAGACTGAAAAGCAAAACAAATTCAGTAGCCTGATAGAACATTTATCTGATGAAGCATGAGAAAAGTGGCAACACTTTCATCTTATAGCTGGGCCAGTTTTTTTCAGGTTTTACCAAAAAAATCCTCACCATGTGTTTCATAGAGACTCTAATTATGGAGGTGGCCAGTTCACCATTGAGAAAAAACGATTCTCTGTATAATCATACCACATTATTAATGTGTTCATCAGATAGTGTAATACTAGTAGCCTCAAAAAGTGATAGCTTATATGGACACTATAGCTGAAGTTTAATTACTACCAAGTAACAAAAAGGGTTGCAATAAGATAATTTTAAACTAAACCTAGTGAAGATGAGGGGATTTCAAGTACTTTTCCCATTCATGCCTCTTCCCCACCTCCACCCTTCTCTCCTTTTAGCTGAAGGAGATAATTTTACACATGAACATCTATAATTGATGCATACACAAGTTTATTATATCTTACATGTTCACTGTTTTATCATGTTAAGATCATTCGAGAATCATCAAGCTGGAAAAATAAAGAAGACCATCTTGTACTCCACTTTCTTTGTTTTGTTTATACAACATTCCATGGAAAGTGTAATGGATGTTTCTAATAATAAAAATGCATCTTTTGATGTGAAACCAATTGTCTGTAGTTACCTTTCCAACTAAGTATTCATTTGCATGATCCATGCCATAAACATCTGATGTGTCAAAAAATGTGACTCCTTTACCAAAAGCCTCCTTGATTATTGCAATCCCTTCCGCCTCAGGAACAGGAGAATTATAGACTCCGGTGAGCCCCATACAGCCGAAACCTAATTTAGAGACCTAGAAACAAAGCTTCAACATGCAGTGAATGACCATTGCATCAAATTATATGAACACTATCTTGCCAAATAAACAATTTTGCAAAAAGCTACTACATACACTACAGAAATAAAGTACTTTGTCATATCCTTCAGAATTCCCACAAATTAAGAACACTACCAATGTGTAAAAACCAGACGAAATCGAAGTACTCTAAAATTAAACCTACTTCCAATACAAATAGACACAATTAGAACTGATAAAATGCGACATTGTTAAAAAAATGTATCATATAGCTTGAAGTTTTTACCTCAAGTCCTTGACTTCCCAGCTTTACTCTAGGCATCTCAACTGCGTCCGCCATTGCTCAAATGGGAAAAACACTCTTTTGACTGTTTTCTTCTCTTTTGGTTTTAAAATTGAGTGTAAATTGTAGTGATTCTATGGAGATATATATATACACTTTCGCCATTGACGTTTTTTTCGCCCCTGTGAGGAGAGCGATTAGGTAAGCAGGGGTGCTTGCGTCAACGATTACGTTAATCTTGCTATCATTTTCAGTCTAACTTGATAAATTATGCATTATTAGAAATAATTTAGATATATTATTTCCTTATATTTTTAGTTCAAAATTCAAATATACTTCAATGTAAATTTGTCCTTAATTTTGACAGAAAAACATGTGTTAAGCTCAAAATTAAATGAGTCGCTTTCAATTTTAAATATTCGATTTTTGAAAAAACTCACCCATTTAACTGGATCCAACCTATTTTCTTTCTTTTTTTGGAGAAGGGCTGAAAATACCCTCAACTATTTGAATTGATACAAAATTATCCTTCATCCATCTTTCGGCCCTCAAATACCACTGACGTCAACCTTTTCGATAAAAAATACCCTTAATTCTATTGTCCACACTTATAAGGTGGACGAAGGACAATATTGTACCAAATCTTATAGCTTAAGGATATTTTAGGCCATTTTTTCGTTAAAATAATTTGAAATTACTTAATATATAGGCTCATATAGTTGGTTTGATTTTGGATCTTGTCCATCATTTCAATTTTTTTTCAACTTATGATAAAACAAGGGAGAAAAAAGGAGTAAAATAATGACGTCATTCATACATTAGTATTAGTTCAATAGAAGATGATTTAATTAAGTAACTATGTACGTATACTGCATTTTTCTTTCGTGTGTACCCAAAATTCAAAATAAAAGAATGAAAATGACATTTTTCTCCTATCTCCCCTCTCCCCCGCCCCACACACACTATGATAATAATACAAATTAAAAGAATATGAAAATGTAAATTTATTTAAAGTTTGAGTTCATGATATCCTAATTAAGAATTAGAGAACTTTAAAAAAAAAAAAAGAATAATAGGAGGGAATGAGCAAGACAATTGAATAATTGATAGAAAATATATATAATGAAAAACAAAACTTATTTTTTTAGATGAAAAATAAGAAAGGACAAGTATGATTTTTTGTTGGATCTCTATTATGAGTTGGGTTATAATAATTGGTGGGATTGATTCAAAATAGGACAATAGTAACATATCATGAAATTAATAATTTTTTAAAATATTATTTCAAGCGTATCGGGACAAGACATGAAAATTATGTGATTCTTATTATTTATTTGAGAAGAGTTTAAATTTTAATCAATTAGATTAGGTAACATAATAAATAAATATTTAATGATTTTACTTTAGGGGACTTTGTTAAAAATAAGGGCAAATATGAGTCAAATGGTTAATATCAAGTGTATTTTTGAGTCAAAAGATTGGCGTCAAGTGTATTTAGGGGCAGAAAGGTGGATGAAGGATAATTTCATACCAATTCAAATAGTTGACGGATATTTTAGGCCCTTTTCCGTTCGTCCAAAGTGTCAAAGCTTGTTGTTTCAACTTGAGACATGTTAAGGAGGTGATAGAACCCATAATTAAAGATCGTAAAGACCCATAAGTCCATAACCCAATGTCACATAATAGTGATACAATAGCAAAGCCATAAATTGATACTTTATGGACCTAAGTCCAGACTTTGGCCTAACAATAGGGGCCAGTGTTTGATTACTACACAAGTAATAACACTAATTTTAAAAAAACTATGCAGCAAATATGATTTCCACTTTGACTGAGATAAAACACAAGCAGACAGTCACATCCTTTATTCAATTATGACAGTACAAAATGAGAGGAATTATATGGCAATGGATTTAAGAAGCAAAAGAGTAACAAACAAGCTAGAGCCTGCACTTTCAATAGCACAGGATTAATGATCATTTGGTTGGTGGAGGTGTAATGGAAAACTTATATGATGTGTTATAAAGACTCCCGCCAATTCTCTGCCCTGCCACTTCACTGGCGGGCACTGCATCAGAAAGCTCTTTTATGTCTTCTTCTCTGAGCTTTACTCTCACGGAACCGATGTTATCATGAAGATTTTTTATCTTTGTTGTACCTATAATAACAGACAAGAGACTAACTCAGTATTCACAACATCATGTGATCAAAGCAAGCACAAGTGAGTGCTACTTCTTTCTGTACAAGTACTCTAAGATCATCTTTGTATTAGTGAAACTACGAAAAGAATTGCTTACCAGGAATAGGTACAATATCATCCCCTTGGTGAAGGACCCATGAAATAGCAAGTTGAGCCGGAGAGCATCCATGCTTCTTGGCTATTCCTTCCATACGAAAATATATAGATTTGTTCTTTTCAAAGTTTTCTCCGGTAAACCTAGGTTGTGTAGTCTAATAGAGAGTAAACGAATCCAGAACCATAAGAGCATGAAAAATGGATTTAATACAAAAAATAATAATATGAGTAATAATAATGAAACATCAAAGAATTTAAAAGTAAAATAAACAATGGTTTGTTTTCTTACCAAAAAGCTGTTGGCGGGCAAGCTTTCAATAACTGCTTTTCCAGCAAAGAGCCCGCGTCCAACAGGGCTATATGGAACAATCCCAATTCCAAGCTCCCTAGTAGATAAGATAGAATGAGAGAATTGAAAATTTCTCCAAACTATACTAACTAGTAGAAAGTTCAAATGTGTGTCCTTGTCTTTTATTTCAAGGTTCTTTTTCTAAATGTGTAATAGAGTGTAGAGAAACCTGCAAACTGGAATTATGTCATCCTCCACGTCACGTGTCCATAGAGAATACTCCTGCTGTACAGCAGTGATAGGATGAACTGCATGTGCTCTCCTTATTGTCTCCGGGTGAGCTTCAGACAGGCCAACATACTTTATTTTACCTTCTTCAACTAATTTTTTAAGTTCTCCCATCTGTAACATACCTCACCACAATAAGAAATAGCAGGGATAGAAATGCTTCATGGGAAAAATAAAGCAAGATTCTTGATTAGGAATGCAGGCATTCCTCCTCGAGGCAAATGAATATTATGAGGGCTAAGGGACCAAAACTGAACCGTATATAGGCAGATCACTTACTGTTTCCTCAATGGGCACTGTTGTATCTATACGGTGCACATAGTAGAGATCAATGTAGTCCACTTGTAGGCACTTTAAGCTAGCTTCACAGCAGGAACGGACATATTCAGGAGTTCCTTTCACTGTAATCTTAGTTGGTTCAATCTTATATATACCGAACTTTGTTGCAAGCTGTACTTTTTCTCGAGGCAATTGCTTTAATGCCTGAAACAGTGAAATTCTTAGATAAATTACGAATTACTTAAGAAAAATCAAGCAGCTATTTAACTGTGGCAGTGGGTCTTCTGGCATTCCATTACCTTACATAGTACATGAGCCATAGAAGAAGAACATAATTTAAATCTTTTTTTCAGTCCAACATTGCCATTATACACTCATTTTTCCCGCATTAACATTTCCCTTCCATTTTCATTTTACACCAACTTAAGATATGCTAGATGTAAAATCAAAATTCTTCAACTCTATATATTCTATTCAGGAAAATATGACCTGAGTTAACAATCCTAGCAACAAGTTTGTAGAAACTTCTCTTGTTCATATGAAACCAGCCAGTGCTTAAAAGACTAAAAGGCGAAACAAATTCAGAAGCCTGATAGGATATTTATCTGATGAAGCATGAAAAAAACCGGCAACACTCTGTATAATCATGCCACATCTTAAATGTGTTCATCAGATAGTGTAATACTAGCAGCCTCAACAAGTGTAGCTTATATGGACACAAAGATTAGCTGATGTTGAAAGGCAAACAAATAACGAAAAGGATTGCAATAAGATAATTTCAACCTAAATCTAGTGAAGATGAGGAGATTTCAAGTACTTTCTCCGTTCATGCCTCTTCCCCCTCCTCCCTTTTCTCTTTTTCGTATGAATTCTCATGTAACATGGTGGTTTAACAGATGAACATCTATGCATACACAAGCTTATTATATCTTATATGTTCACTGTTTTATCATGTTAAGATGATTCAAGAATCCTCAAGCTGGAAAATTAAAGAAGACCATGTTGTACTCCACTTTATTTGTTTTGTTTATACCACATTCCATGGAAAGTGTTATGGATGTTTCTGCTAAGAAAAATGCATCTTTTGATGATCATGATTCGTGCGACACCAATTGCTTGTAGTTACCTTCCCGATCAAGTACTCATTCGCATGATCCGTTCCATAAATGTCTGATGAGTCCAAAAATGTGACTCCTTTACTAAAAGCCTCCTTGATTATTGCAATCCCTTCCTCCTCAGGAACAGGACTACTATAGGCTCCAGTGAGCCCCATACAGCCGAAACCTAATTTAGAGACCTAGAAACAAAGGTTCAACATGCTGTGAATGACCATTACATCAATATCATATAAACACTACTATACGAAATAGACAATTTTGCAAAAAGGAAGTAACAGCTAAAAAGCAATTTACTGCATCCATTTTGGAAAAGGGTAGAGCATTCTTATTCGTTCAGAGTAAAATTTATCCATTAAATTCACAGGAAAAAGTCCATGAGATTTAGCTTCTGATTCGAATTGTAAATGGACGGGATTTTGTTTAAGCAACAGATCCGTGATCCAGAAGGATTCCATGGGTTTTGAATCCACGGCAATCAGCTAAAACCATAGATATTACACATAAATATAAAAACACATATACATGCATAAAACAAGTAAAGATAGATGTTACATAAGTATTGAGTTCACACTCTCAACTCATATCTGTGGCGTGGAAATCTTGGATAATACAATGGCAAGGGTAGATCCAATGTATAACTTATGGGTTTACCTAACTCAATCACTTTAGCTCGAACCCTTTATATGTGTTAAGAACTCACTAAATAAATATAAATCAGTGTATAACTTTTAGGTTAATCCAAACCCAATAGCTTTGGCTCGAACCTTTTATTTTTTGAAAACCTACTATATACATACAAAATAATAGGTCATGAGTCCAGTGGATTACATGGGTT